GCCGCCAAGCAATAACGTCAGCATTACTGTGTTCCGGTTTTGAAGGGTAAGGGTGCTGGTGAAATTACAGACACATGGAACTTGTCAGCATAAGTCTCAGTGTGACGAGCGCAGTGGTTATGCCCCTCAGATCTTTGCAATTTAAAGCCCTGTGCGGCACATTACTGCTTGGCGGCAGAAATAGGTAAGGTGTGCGTTATTATTATTTCTATAATTATTGTTACTAATATTAATTCATTATGGGTTTTTAGTCCAATTACGGCTAAGAAACAGACTAAGATCGGTTACACACGGTGACTTTTAGCAGTGATGCGAAGCGTGACTGCATCGATACAAACGCGCGATTGCATCAGTGCAATCTCTTATAAAGTACAAGTGTAGCGATGCAATCGCGCGTTTGTATCGATGCAGTCACGCGTTCGCATCGCTGCTAAAAAACGCCGTAACGTAGTAACCACTCTTATGCTCGTATTCCAGAACTCTACTCAATGCTCAAGTCAGGATATGAGCAGACTTGAGTATGATTTCAAGCACTGGAAATACGACCCTAATGGCAAGGCCTTGAGTATGATTTTTGTGCTCACTGTGTTCACTGCAATACTCAAGTCCTGACTTGAGTATTGAGTAGAGTTGTGGAATACGACACTTTGAGATGTTTGTAACTTATTAATAAAATACACACACAATACTTAAGCCTTTATCATCCCTAGAGGCATAATGACAAATTCAGGGTATCGTGTACAGATATTATGTTTACCAGGTCGCAGACAACTAGTTCCATTCTAAATAAAGCTCGGTTGTACGACATGTCTATGTAACTTGTTATTTAGTCAAAACCAGCCATTCGAAGGAAAATCGATTTGGAGCGATTATTCAAGAGAGGCTCTCATTACATCGTGGATTAGCTAACGCACGATTAATTTCGAGAGAGTTCTCACTTGAATCTAGCAATTTAGTATTAAGGTCTAATTTCTAACAGTGTCAATCTGAAATTTTAACTCTACGGAACAGCGAAAACAGATTAAGTCCAGTCGCAGTAAAGCTTCTTGTGAAAGATCTCATCCAGGGAAGTTCTGCCACCTTACCTATTTCTGCGGCCAGGCATTAATGTGAGCATTATTGCGTTTCAGCAGAGCAGTGTCGCTCAGACATTTGTAATTTAAAGATGGCATCTGAATGGCACTGGAATTGCTATGGATAGCCGTGTCTCTTACCACCAGGTGCACGATTTGTTCGGTTTGTCACTTGGTATGATAAAAAAAACGTTATGTTCTTCTATTCTGTGTTAACCGTGGAAACCCAATAGCTGGAATATACTTAGAGATTCGGTTTCCCAGTTTCCAATGTCTATTTGACAATAATATCACTATTGATTTTGGGTTTACAGCGGCAAATGTCGAGTCTGTTCATAATGTAAAAGAGAATAAAGTAACAAATTTTGTCCTTCATACGCGGTTTAGTCTTGTTACAAAATTTCAAATATACATCAACAAAACAAAATAGAAATACACTTGAAAATGTGTTTTTTTTAATTTTCTCTTGTTAGTACTATCGTACTATTCTATATCTTCACTTCGTTTAGACTTGAAAAAAAACAGTGATCGCAAATTTTTTTTCAGTCAAGAGATTATAGTAGAATGACAGGAATCGATGCCAAATGACATTTATTTACAAATGACACGATAATAAATGTTACTTATTAACCGACTTCAAAAAAAGGAGGAGGTTCTCAATTCGACTGTACGTTTATTTTTGTATGTTTGTTACGCGATAACTCCAGTATTTGTGAACCGATTATTATGATTTTTTTTTGTTAGTTTTTATGTTAGTTTTGAAGAAAATAATTTACCTCTGAGGGTACCTTTCAGTTTCATTTCTGTAAATAGCGCCTAAATTTTTTATAAGGAGCAATTATTTTAATTGTTGGTTTTGCTATTCTCTAATTCAAGGCGTTTTTCTCTCTCAATATACTTTGAGTAGTGAGAACCGATTTTTATTATCTCCTGTGTCGAACTAGGGGATGCATCCGAGTTTGCGCACTTTCCGGTAACCAATTTCAATAAAACTTGGCGAATAGATGTAATTCTACGTACTTTTGAGGTCGGTTTTTTTAGTACTCTGTACTGAGATTATTTTGAAAAAAACTTTCCGCTTAATGTTTGGTAACTAGTTTCTTTACGTTATTTTATAGTGCAAATCTTTGACATAGATTCAGTACGTAAAGATATAATTTTTAATTTTTTCATATAATTTGAAATAGTGACAACTGGAATTAAAATACGTAATAATTATAGAAAGATTGAGATTTGGTTTCACGGTATTTACTTGAAAAAAGACTCAAAATTTCCTTTTGTCTAATGGTAAAAAAATTAAGTGCTAGTTCGTTTTTATTATTTATAACAACATCATCATCAGCCTATTGCAGTCCACTGCAGGACAGAGTCTTCCCCCATTTTGCCCAGTCCTCAGCTTCACTTAATCGGGTCGGAGGACGTCGATTTTACATACATTCTATTGCTACATCATAGCAAACAATATTACGCCACGCTTGCGTATGCTTGCGTATTTATATTTTATATCTATCTGTTAATGTTTACTTAGTCCATAAATTCTCATTTTAGTGAATTGTCAATTCTTATGAGAATAAAGTTTATTTAACTACATGTTTGTAAATGTAGCATAGCGCCACGCTTGACTGAAATTTAGCAGCGGATTTATAGTTTAAAAATTATCACTTATCATTCTTCAGTCATGAGATCCATTTTATATGGTAATCTCTGTTTGGAAGAGCTGACACGCCGAAGTTACACAGCCGCATTTCGGCAGGTAATGTGTTCTTTTGCTCAGGTTGAAGATTTAGAAAAGAAAGAAGAAGAAGAATTGAAAAAGTTGTTTTATAGCAGCCTTTGTATAATAAATCCCCAAGAAATCATACGTCGAAAGTGCTTTATCACATGAAAGTCATAAAAATAATACCAAACACATGAAACAAATTATGTACGAAATTTATTGACTCTCTATAAAAAGGTTGTCGTATAATTTCGGGCGCAGAAACTTTAAACCTCTCTCCTGAAAAGTCATAATTTCATAATGTCATAATTAGATATAACTTTATTACACCAAGGATGCGTATTATTTCGACGTTTCATGATAGTAATAACAATAATAATGCATACACTTCTGGCCCAGCACTAGGGAAACCCTGCATCGCGGGTGCCATGGACACACACACATAGACAACCAAAAATTACACCGAAACTCACGAGAGAAATAAATGTAAACTATACTTATATTTGTCCAGGCCAGGGAATCGAAACCAGGACCTCTGCGTGGCAGTCCACCATGGTAACCTTTCCTCGTAGCCAATTAAACATACATAAGACCTCCACTTTGTATCATCAAGACGTATCCGACCTTAAACACTTGAAACCCCGCTCTACAAGAAAATGCTAAGTGCTACATTTTCATAATGACAGTATTTTCAGAATTCTTTTAATATGCCCGTGCTGAAATCCATCTTATCTTGTAAAAAGGTTGTATTTGCTCGTTGTTTTTTCAGTGCAATTGCACTGTACAGACTTTTCGTTTACCTCGTAAATGGTATCAAACCCATTGTAGTATTCTTCGTGATACTTATTACTTCTATTTCTTCACATAAAGATTGGTGATTTCACTTTGTATGCCAGGTTTCAGTGGGCGATGTGTATCACGCATTTATACATAAACACGTTAATGCGACACGCGCTCTGCGTCCAAACTGCGCCACGACAGCGATGCGATTCAGAGATACGACGGCAAAGTAAATACGATACACTAAAATGATACAGATGTGGAAGCGGCACACGAAAAACGAGAACTAGGTACCTGTCCTTTTAATATTATGGTTAAGGTAACGGTTATTAGGTATGGTAGAGATGTTAAATAACAGCATTTTCATTATCATAATTTATTTACGTATCCATTTAAATTTTACATTAAACAAAAACAAAACAATTTCGTGTCTGTACATTAAAAAGATTAAAAGATGATGTCGTGCACAGAATTGACATTACCTTAAGTGAAAACACAGCCATAGATTACTGCCTATTTTTATTAACTATTTTTTTTAATAAGTAAATAAGAGCGCATTTTACCTCCATTTCATCTGATGGGAAGCGACGATGAGGTCGACGATGTAGCATGCGCACTTAACTATTACTATGATGACGATTTTGATGCACATATTTCTAAAATTAAATTAATTTTATATAGATTGTATTAAATCCTTATGTTATTTATTTTATTGAATATGAATATCTCGATCCGTAGTCCTGGGGTGGCAACGGACGTAGTGCAGTTCGAAGGACATTTTCTTTGTGTTGTTAGATTTTTGTATTAATAATAATAACAAGCCTTATGTTATTTTTTAATTTATTTTGTATATGTACTTTAGCTATCGCAGCTAATATTTTTACACAAAATAAAAAAATCGTGATCAGAGACAAACGTATTAGATAACTCATTTCTAAATTCCGAAAACGTTAAGTTAGTTATAACCTCGGACTGAAATTATCACCAGTCCATTTGAATATTATTCACAGCGCATATACAGGGAATTTGAGATTCTCTAAGTATTCGATAAACATATTTCTTAAATAATATAATTAGTTGGCAATAAAATATTGCATGGTGTTACATTGGTACGCCTCAACTTACATGTTACTGCATACGTTGAAGCACATTAGATTAATTACACCTTTAGTTTACATTCAGAAATGCATGCTTCAGAATCGACATCACTATTCTGTAGAACTAATTAACCTTCAGAAAAGCTACACAAACGTTACACTTTTAAGAAATAAATAGGTTTGTGATTTTTTTCTTAACTAGAGATTTATACGTATTTATATAGAATTCACATAAAGATATTTCTTGTTTTCTAATATATTTTAAATTTACAGATAAGTTCTTCCTTAATTATGCACCTAATTATTTATATACTTGATGACATTTACGATGACGATAACACACTGACAATTTGAAAAAAAGTTTATTTATTTACTCGATTAGTGGATACGTAAATCATAGTTGTCCGTTATTTTACTGTAGGATACACAGTGTTAGAGTGTGTAGAGGTTTTATTATATAATTCACAATAAATTTAGTTTTTGTTATAAACTGAGGCCGATGGTTTATCTACAATTACTTTCTAATATCACCACATATTTTCGTACTATTTCTCATAAGCTCATGAACCTTGATATTTCTTTCACAGTCCAAATTAGTCCAATCAAAAATATACAAGGGGAAACGCCCACATCTGTACCTGAAACAAACGGATTCATTAGTAAGACTTCTGTTCCTCTGTGTTTTGTTTTTCACAACGATATTAGAACTTCCACCTTTATTCTAATACAAAGCAGCAGGTTCTTTTTACCCAGAGGATTCACTAGTTATAATAACTATTAAACGTTAAAATTGCATTAACAAAATAAATTTTGACTAGATCCCGAAATATTATGTTATATAAATATACAGCGAAAAGGCTTAAATGTCAATTTATAAAAAAAGTTATTTCTTGATTCAAATTATCGAGTGTTTTCAATCTGTTTACTCCAAAGTTTTGTTATTCACCAAAATTTTACGTAAACATAATTATAAAAATTTGATAAATTATAATATGTAAGTAATATAAAAATAATATTACCCAAAAGTTCTGAAAATTTTGGTTTTTCGCTGTTTTTAATGAAATTTATAAATCGGCGTTTCTTCCACGAAGTGCCCAATATACACTACTCAACAAACTGTAGTTTTTTTTAAATTATTGTTAAATTACTATAATTTGAATGGTTTAGCGTGGGTGCGTGCGTGCGTGTGTGCGTGCGTCCGTGCGTGCGTGCGTGAGTGCGTGCGTGTGTGTGGTAAGAACTCGAACACATAATGGACCTGTATATTATAATTTAAGCTCTAATTATAAAAAAACTCTTCAATTTTGTTGTAACTACGTTTTAAGATTCATTTTGTGTTAAAATAAAATACTTATGACTATTATATTTATCAATACTTGTCTGTGACTTAAGAATCATAATGGCGCCATACAAACTACATACTAATAAAATTTTGCTGTTAAGGGATCAAATCTACATTTCAAGACAAAAGAAATTCCAAAATCCAGCTTATAGTTAAAAAAAAAATCATAATACAAAAGCAGTTTCTTAAATACAGTTTTTCTTTGTAGTGGATTGAGCTTCATAAGTTTTATTTCGCCCTGTATTTAGGTAGCTAATTATCTACGACAACTAAACACGAGGAACTCGTGTCAAAAATTATCCTGACAAATTTCTATTTGCCATTATTAATATTCCACAACGCATTTAGGCGTCTTGTTTAAATACGTCATACTGTCATTAAGATATTACCAATATTATCTTAATGACAAAATAATAATAATTACATTTTGTCGAAATTATATTGATGATGGCTATTCTTTATCTACCTCTCTATCTATTACAATAATAATTATTCTCCATAAATAAATTGTTAGTAATGAGTAAACAATGTGAATAATATTATTTTTGTACAAGAAATATTTAAATGAAGGGTACTAATTAATTATAAAAAATGTTAGAATAACTTATATCCTACAACGTACTATTATGTAATATATAATAGTCCTAGAATCCTTCCTATTTCTAAAGCCAAGCATTAATATGAGCAAACCGGAAAGAGTGCTAGTAAAAACACAGGCACATGGGACTTGTCAACTTATGTCTCAGGGTGACGAGCGCAGTGGCAGTGCCTCAGATCCTTCCATTCAAAGCGCTAAGTGGCGTTGGAACTGCTATAGACAGGCGTATCGCTACCACCAGGCACACGATTTGTTTGTTCGTTTCGACACTTGATATCACAAAAAAAATATATTTATAGATTTATAATATTCTTTGTATCATTTCTTTTTCTTACATTTTTTCTTAAATATAAAATTAACTCGAAATAATATAATAATCCTCATTAAGGATCTGTATAAAGCACCAATTTACCAACAATGTACTCATCCAGACGGAAACAGACTCAACGAAACCTTGGAAATATAAACAACAATGGACAATTGGGCACAAAAAAAGAGAGGAAACAAAAATAATGAAATATACCTATGTGCTAGTAAATTATATCAAGAAATTTCTGTAAGAGTCTCCGATAAAATAATAATGCGAGACTTGTTATATTTTGAATAATTTATTTGACAGATAATGTTCGCAATAATGACGAAAACAAAACACTTATTTTTAACAACCTTAAATATCTGGAAAGTACGAGTTCAAATGGAGCTGGGGAGGACATATTGCGAAACGTGGTGAAGACAGATAGAGTAAAGCGATAACCGAGTGGTGGCCAAGAAATGGTTATGGATACGTAAGACGTCCTGGGGGGCCTACCATAAACTTTCCAAAAACAATCTTTTTTCAATGTAAGCTTATTATAATATTACTCATATTCGTACCATGACAAACCTGTCAACCAAGTAATGTATTATTGCTAAAGTGATTGAAAAAACGAATGATTTCCCAATATTGTCTATTCCTTACTAAAAATAGGAAAGAGATAACGCAATGTGAACTATATAATGAAATTTAATGTTCCGAATCGTCTTATCGTAGTATAATGTTTAAGTCTTAATGTTATTTACATTCAAAGAATTGTGACTGTTAAAAAAAGAAAAGCATGTAACAATAAAATCTATTAAGATTACGTTGTTTTCAATAATTTTCCGCATTTTCATGAAGAAAAATAATTAAAACAAGCTGAGTCTTGATAGTCACGTTGTGAATTCGGAATTACGGTTTAGTGTCAACTGTTAGCTTCGCTAAGGAGCATATAGGTGGCGCTGTCATAATTTTACGAAATAAACATCGCGTGTTTTTATTTCACGAGAAATTATTTCCTATGTACTATTAAATAAAAAAATAAACAAAATATTGAAGAGATATATGTAAATAAATAAGTTCAATACAAATCAATATTAAGACAATAAAACTGAAAATAATAATATTGTTTCCATTGCAACATTGTAACTATTTTAAGATCGCTAAATTTGACATGAGAGCAGTAGTACTTTAATGTTAAAGTCATGTCATAGTACGAACTGAGTGAATGAATAGTCACAAAGCTGCCAATAAAACATAGTTTTAACATTATAATAAGCTTATTTTAAGCCGGTTATGGTACGAAAAGTCAATATGAGGTTAAAGTAACATTGTTTCAAGAGGTTGTGGTAGGCCCTCTGTAGCAAGATGAGTTAACGACATCGTCAAAGTTGCGGGGCGTAGATGGGTGAGACTAGCACAAGGTACAGGATCACAAACTACAGGAAGCCTGTACCCAGAAGTGCGTGAAGTCAGGCTAAAGATGAAGACGATGTTCACGATGCATGTTCATCAACAATAAAATAATATTTCTATTAGGAAATGAAACTATTTTTCCGGATCTAAATCGCGTATATTTGTTTTTTCAAACAAACCGACGTTTCGGGCCCTTTACAGGTCCCATGGTCACGGTTGACTGAGGTGGTACAGTCTTCAACCAGTTATGTCTAATATTAATGCAAACCACCCTATTTTTTCACTATAGTCACAATAGTTATT